GAACTAACTTTTCTGTGATAAAAGACTTGTGCTACTGCTCAAGTACTGCTCCATACTTCCCAATTTTTTGATGTCTGCAATCATCAGAGTGGAGAAATGGGAGCTCAAAGTGTTCTGTGTTTACACTCTTATATCTACTTCAGTAGAGCAGAGCTGCTGTGAGAATTACTAGCCATTCCCTGCTGCCCAGAGGGAATTTAAGCCACAGCTGTTTCTTCAAGACCTCTTCTGAAATCTTTTGTGATTCCCCACCAGCACTTTCCTTTGAAAATGAGCCACAAAGCATAGTTTTGACCTGTTAAAAGTTTTAGAACTTTTCTGTGTGTGAAATTCTTACGTGTGCTGCACGAACTTAAAGGGTGAACTGTAAGCTGAGAGCGATCCTTAGAAATGTCAGAAAAAATTTTTGCTTCAATCTGCAAGGGAGGGGAAAGTAATGCTGTTCTAAATGTAAGTAAGTGGCTGGAGAGTAGCTCCATGCAATCATTTCGAATGCATATACTCAAGATTCTTCCAGTCAGGTAAACCAGGAAACCAGTCTAAACCTGAACTGAATTGTCCAGACACCTTGGAAAGAGCTTGTGTACTATCAGAGCTTGATAATTGAATGTTTATTGCTGTAGTTATCTGCCTGATAGAAAAAGAAGTGAGAGGATGTCCTTGTGGGGGGTGGAGTTGGAATCTGGTCGTGGATGCAGCTGTTATTCTCTTTGAGTTGACAATTACATGGCTTCTACATTCTCACAGATTCTTGCAATGTTTTCATGATCAGCGCAGAGCAGAGGGGCAGGATGTCCTCCCTCGGCCTGCTGCCCACACTGCTTTTGATGCAACCTGGGATATGGTTGGCTTTCTGAGTTGTGAGGGCACACTGCTGGCTCATGTCCAGCTTGCCATCCACCATTACCCCCAAGTCCTTTCTTGCAGGGCTGTGCTCCATCTTTACATCCTCCAGGCTGTGTTGGTAATGAGGGTTGCCGTGACCCAAATGCAAGACTTTGCACTTGGCCTCACTGAACCCCATGAGATTCACTGGGTCTGCTGCTTGGGCCTGTCTAGGTCCCTCTGGGTGGCATCCCATCCCTTGAGCGTGTTGACTGTTCCACGCAGCTTGGTGTCTTCTGCAAATTGGTGATGGTGCAGAATGGACTGGTAATGGGGCTGTGGTCAGTCCTTAATGCTTCATCTCTGCTGCTCCTCCATGGCCTCTATCTTGGGAATGGGATGGGAATCGTCCTTTTGGGAATTCACCTCATGTATAGAAAGATGCACGAGCACATTCAGCTGCACATGGAGCACCTGAGTTGGGTCGTGGCTCAGCTATGGCACAGGATGGTGCAATGGAGCCAGCTTCCATGTGGAGCTGCACGACGTGGAGGAGACAACAACAAGCAAGTCCTGTCTGTGCGTGCAGCTGGTTACAGCAAGCAACTGGGTGAACCAGTCGCCAGTGCTTTCTTCTTTCACACTCTGATACAGGTGCACAGGTGCACATTGTCAGAGGGTGTTTCCCACTGTTGGTATCTCAGAGCAGGGCTTTTTGATTGGGCAGCTTGTTTTGCTTTGGTGTCCTTTTCAACCCAGGCCATTCTATGATTCTCAGGCACGTTCTTGGTGCAAAGGGCTGCACACCACATTTACTTTCTCCTCACGTTTGTTATGATGAAGTTTCTTCTCCTCAAAGCTTGGGCTGCAGCATGTCAGAGAATCCTAAGTCAACTTTTGTTTCAAGTGAAGCTATCCCGACTGGCTATGCTCAAAGTCCAATGAAATTAAACTGATAGACCTTACGGTTTCCTACTCACGCTGCTGTAGTCTCCAAACTCAACAATTTGACAATATAATGACAATTGACAATATAATGCTTGGATGAACTTTCTGGACAACAGCAGAGTGAATTTCTGCTTGGTTGTTGGTTTCTCACACCTGGTTATCACTCTAACCTGCATCTACCTATTATACTGCGCAGTCTTAAAGGATAAAAAGAACAAGTGAAAGCAGTCAGTTCCAAAACCTTTCATTATCTGCAAATACATGAAGTGAGAATGCCAGGTAAGCCTTAGTAGGTCTTTAAACACAGTTTCCAGTTCAAACCAAAGGCCATCCACACCTTACTCTTGTATTAATTACTTTGTCAGTGTTTTCAGTGAAGGATGGTGCCCCTCAGGGGTCAGTACTGGGGCCAACACTCTTTGGTATCTTTGTCAGTGTCACCAGCTGAGCTGGGGCTGGCTTCAGCCCTCATACAGGCTGGGAATGAGACCATTTGCTTTGTTAGAAATCTCTGAAACCACGGCACAAATGCACTCCACTGAGAAAGGCCCCTACCCAGCAAGTAAGGCCGCATGTGAAACGCAAGACTTGCACGTCGCTTCGATCCCCAGAGCCATGAAGCCTACAGGAAGTAAAGGAGAGTGTCCGACCTGCAGGATAGAGCACTGCACAAGAAGGCTGTGCACACGGACTTGAAGACTTGGGAACCTTTTGCTGAAGTATTTCCTATGTCAAGAGGTCCTGTTCTGATCAAGAGCCAGTATGCTCTGTGCTTCAATGGGAGCTTAGAGACGAAAAAAAGAAATGAACAGAAAGGGGGATATTTGGACATTTTCTGGATTTTTATGTAACTTTACTGGACCGGTCACTCTGTGGCTAAGTTTTGTTTTTCAAGAAAGCAAATGTATGTGAACGTGGTTGCAGGTGTGGATTTAACTTTTTGTTCCTGAACATGTCTACTTTCTGCTCCATCTCACACGCCTGGAAAGGAACCCTTTTAAGGAGTACCTTTGCCAGTGGAAAGAGTAGGGGACAATCGCTTTATTCAGACTGTATTTTAGAAGCTGTACATACATGGTGGGTTGACCTTAGCAGTGTAACTGCTGGGGGACGTGCTCTGCTTTCTGCACCACAATCAGGAGGAGCTGGGAGGAAAACAGCAGCCCAGCTTGTTCGACACCTTCTGCACGGGCTCCTATCTGCATGTGGAGAAAAGCACGCTCTGGCTCCAAGACCAGGTGAAAGCAGCCTGGAGGCGTCTGCACTGCCACCAGGCGGCGGGAGGGGTTGTCCTGCTCTGCTCCGTGCTGTGCGACCTCATCTCCTGCACTGAGTGCAACTGTGGGTGCCACAATGTAAGAAGGAAATAAAACTGTTAGTGTCCAAAGGAGGACTGCAAAGACAGGGAAGGGTCTGGAGGACAACGCTTATTAGGAGAGGCTGAGGTCCCTGGGTTTGCTCAGCCCAGAGCAGAGGAGCTGAGGGGAGGCCTGATGGCAGCTGCAGCTCCTCACAGGGAGCGGAGGGCAGCGCTGAGCTCTGTTCTGTGTGACAGCGACAGGGCCGAGGGAACAGAGGGTTTGGATTTTGCATCATCTGAAGAATCAGCGCACGGTGCGTGTTTTCTTCCTGACCTGGAGGAGGAAGCAACAGGACGCACATCAGAATTCAAGACATGCAGGGTGATGTTTTAATGCCCAGTGAGTGGAAGAAAGTTTGTTTAAAGGCGGAGAGTAGAAGCAGAATGCAAGAGCTGGGTATTAAGGGTGCAGAATGAGGCCACTGTGTCCTGGTCAAAGCAAATCGATGTGGGAATACTTCCCCTGCTGTGCCACTAGATATAAACCACCTGTAGCATGGAAAGCTCAAAAAAGCTTTAGGATTGAGATATTTTCATGGCACAAGTCCCTTTTTATCTCGCTAAGGAGAAATTACATAAGCAGGAAAGACAGGGCACTTTCTGCTGAAAGTTTTGTATTCATGAGCTCTGCTGCCACTTTGGATTCCTCACCATGCCGCACAGTACCAGGCTTCCAATTAAAAGCTCAGGTCCTTTAGACAAGCAATTAAGTGCTAGCCCAAGCGTGCCCTCAGACCTGTCTACACAAATAATAGGAAGCTGAGGAGCTGCAGTGAGGAGGAGGAGGAGGATTTCTGCCCCAAATGGCTTGCAGCGCCTAGTTTTCATTTTTCAGTGCGTAATTTTTAAGTCAGAGGCTATCACTGCCACTAGGTGAGCCACAGCCAGAGCTCACATTCAGCTTTGAAAACAACAGCAAACTGTTTGCCTTGCCCAAGACAAATCCAATGCAACATAGCTGTAATGCCTGCCCATAGTATGGGCTGATATCCTCATGGCATCTGCTTCCATAGGGCACCAAAGCGGCTGCAAACACGTTTTGCCAGTGAGAGAAGTTATCATTTATCATAAATAATAATGCCATAATATTTTCTTTTTTAAAAAAGGAAATATAAAAGGCACATACTTATATCGTGTGCTTCATTACTGAGGGCTAACTCCACCACTCCCTCCTGCTGGATGGAGTTACTGCGTGCTGCTGTAGTCCGGCTCACAGCTGCTGCCTACATTTCCAGCAATGCTTTCCAGGTAGGATGTGCAAGCACCCGAAGACATAGGAACAGTGTGCAGGAGTTTATGTGCTAACAGAGTAACTGTGCAGAAGTGAAAAGCTGCTGTTATTCTTGTTTTCCACATCACCATGCAAGTGCAGCAAGACAAATATAGGCATCTCCAGCATGTGAGAATCTTGTTCATCTTCTCTGCTGGCATCAAAACAAATTGAATATATACTTCCATTACCAGGAAAAATCACTTTTCCCCAACAGTAGGTGAGAAACTGGTAGAGCACCAGAATAGGGGTTCATGCTGCTCAAAGGCTCATGTTGTATTCCCTCTTCTCAACAAGGAAAGCGCAGCTTGAAAGCGAGCAGAAAATCACCTCTGCCTTTTTGAGCAGGGATGTCCAGTAGAGATGCAGCAGCACTTCTAATCTCAGCCTCATGTCTCCCTGTGGAGGCCCATAGGACTCACTGCCAATGGGTGGGCTCATCTCTGTCCCCACTCTCAGCCCATATCAACCCAAAGTGGCCATCGAAGGGGTGGCAGCAGTGGGACAGCTCTGTTCCCAGCTGGGGAGGAGGCTGTTCCACCTCGGGGTCCTCTGCTAACAATAATTTCCTGGAGGGATAATCAAGAAGCACACCGCTTGGCTTCAAAACATACAATATACTTTATTGCCTGCTAGATAATCAAAGTGAGGAGTAAACACCATAGCTGGAAAAAGCAGAAAAGGACCAGGAAAAGGAAAAGAATATCCAGTCACCAAACAAGTTATCAGGCAATAAACCATACACAATATAAATAATCTGTTTCCCAAACAACGAAATCTTTATTTTGCTAATGGCCTTTAGATGGTTAATTATCAGTAGTAAAATCTCTGGATTTCATTTTCTACACAGCATTAGTAGTAAGAAATATATAAGGGACTCTGCAGAAAGCAATACAAAGGAGTTATATACACAGGCACCTTCTGTGGAGCAAGAACAGAACTTCATCTAGGGAGGAGGGGCTATCTACAAAACAGAAGACCATGGTAATACAATAGTAGCTCAGACTTAGTTAGGCTGCCACCTTCCCACAAGGCAGGCCAGCCAACTTATGTATACATATATATTTTAATATAGATATATAGAGAGATTTATTATTTTAAAAATAATGTGAACTACCTGTAGTTCCTAGGCTAATTTTAAAGAGGCAGTGTACCTTTCTGAAGCTTCATTTTCAGGAAGTATATTAAAAATGGTATATAAAAGACTAGCAGACCCAAGCTCGTGTATCAGCAACCGGTATCTTCCCTCAGCATTTTCTTCTAATGCCACAGTTGCCATCCCCAGTGATGGCAATGCCTTCAGTCATCCAGATTGCTATTTACCTTGCTACCACTAAGTTTGCTCGATTATAATGTTGTTAGTAATCATAGATTATTAATAGCAATAATGCTGCAATACGCTGTCAGAGCCTGACTGCATTATGAAGACCTAGTCTGTATGTGCATGCAGAGTTTTGTTGCTTAATCTGAAAGAACATTTCCCATACAAGATCTTTCCCCTGCCAACCCCCTGATGTTCCTCCAATTGCACCAAAAGGGCCAATTTCATCCACCCAAGGAAGGCCACCAGCAGACCCTACACCCAAAGTGTTTCTAGAGGCCTCTTCCCAACCCAGCGATGACATCTGGATTCCTCACTGCCTCACACATCACCCTAATTTCAAGGAGATGGCTTTGCATGGAGTACGCCAATGACAGTGTGGCAATACACAAACTGTTTTCCATAGTATGCATGACATTTTGCTGATGGAGCATAACCATGCCTGCTTTTAAAGATGGATGTCCAGATGGAGCAAGATGCATTTGCAGTATTACAAAATGAAGGGTTGTTTGTATTTAAAAACATACCTAACATTAAAATCAGCATTGTGCCAGGCAACCACATCCTTGCTGAACTCAGTATTAGCCTTAGCATTGGGTTACAAAAGAACAGAGCTATAAAATCCCTGACTGCTATTGCAGCATGCCTTTCAGAAGCAATCTCAGCTATGACAGCAGCAGCAGGTGCCCTCTGCATCCCGCTGAGCACCAATGCTGAGCATGTAGGGATGTGCTGTGAGAAGACAGGAGTACCCAAAAGCGAGGCACTGACCATTACCATGCAGGACTTCAGCTCTTCTGCCTATGCAGGTAAACCCACTATGAAGGGGATCTGCTGAAAACTCAATTATCCCAGTTCCTGCATCATCACAGAGAGCATCGCCATGTCTTATTTAAGCGTCTGGACCTTCCTCTGTGCTTGGCATAAGGCAGATGGAGGTGTCAGCATCAGGGAAGGGAGATCTGGTACCTCAACAAGCAACTGCAAAGTCGGTGCTTGCTGTCAGTGCTGTAACTTCTATTCAGCTCTATGGGACTCACACTCAGCAGCAGGGAAAATGCAAGCAGCACCCTGCTGTGCTGGAAAGGGAAAAAACAGGCAGATTTTGAAAGAGAAGTTCTTACATTGGGTTTAAAACCAACTGAAGCTTCACCTTCACTAGCTGTTGCTGGTTCTTTGACTGCTGAGGAGAAAGGTGAATAGCAGTGCCCAAGTTGATCTCTTGCAATCAACAGCCTTAGCTGCCACTTTTGACCCTCCTGCATCCCAGTTTGGCTTACCCTGGTGGAGCTGCAGAGCAGTATTAGGAATCCCATAGAAGGATGAGGGATTACAGGGCCATTGAAGCCAAACAGAAAGACCTCATGCATCGCTGAGGATTACGTTGCTAGTGAAAGCCAAAGACTGCTGACATGGTGCACAATTTGCAATTATAACAAAGCTTGACAGGCACCCACCATATTTAATAGTTCATATGAGAAACTGGGAACCAGAGATTCTCGGCACACCATGATCCCTGCCAGGGCTGGGAAAATCAGCCAATTCCTTCTGCACACATAATTTCCTCCTATATAAAGCCCTTTGTCTGACTCACAAGCTGTGAATCACATCTTATGAACTGCTCTGTCTGGTGTACTTTCTCTTCTTTACGCCAACAGATTCTTTATCACTTAATGTGCTGATGCTGTCAGCTACTGCAGAAGGTGTCTGTGGAAACATTGTCCTTCAAACGTCAGCCCATGGCCGGTGGGCACCCACACTGGATCTTTTCAAAGGCTTTTACTACAGTCAAATAGTCTTGGGTCCTGCACCCACACATTCACCTCACAACATGCATGCCTGTATCAGGGCCAGACACAACCTGGAGCAAGTGAACAAGGAGCTCAGTTTTTCTGGTCCTCCAGTCTGCACCCTACAACATTTTCACTTAATGTAGAACTTGGATGCTGCACCCAGCCTCTGATTTTCTTCCTTCTTGGCCTGGATATCAGTGCCCGGGTCTGTCCCACTGTACACAGCGTGACCAGGGGGCAGCGACTGATGGTCACATCATGCCTCCAGCAGGACCTGCATCTTGCTGCCCTTTCTTCTTTAGCTAGTAGAACCAGTGATGGCATCACTGGCAGCACAGAGCAGACAAGATGCTGCGGAAGGCTGTAGTGCTGTGATGGCTTTCCTGCCCCGCTGCTGTGTAGACGAAGAGTGGGGAAAGTAGACCTGGGCAGATCAGAAAGCAGGCTGAATGCGGCCATGGCCTTCATCCAGCACTTGGGGCACAGTGTGGAAGAGGCATCCTATTGAGAGGCCAGGTAGGACCCAAAGCTGGACACGAGGCTGGTTGCTGGGACCCCGCTGAAGACCCAGCAAAATGCCCACTGCTCAGCCTGGTGGTGGCCATGAGAGGACGGCCCGAAGACGCGGGCACGTTCTGGCATTTACCAGTGTCACAGCACAGCTGAACGAGAGCACTGACACGTGAGATGGGTGTTTTCCTTGTTTGGGTTCCACCTCACATAGTATGGCTTTAAGGACTGATTTGTAGCATCCGCACAAGTGTACTGAGGAAAAAGCTGACAGGTTTGCTTTTGTTTTGTCTTTACTGCCAGAACTCTATAAAAACGAATTGAAGGCAACTGCTAGATAGAAAACACAGCGCTGGGAGAAAGGTTGCTTTGAACCTCTCTGGTATGGCTATTAATGGACAACCTGACAAACCAGTCAGGATAAGAGGTTTTTGAAGGCCTGTGGCAGTCCTGTGGCTAGTGATCATGCTGGGCTGGCACTCTGTGACAAATGTCACCTCAGATCTTATCCAGTCGTTACCTTTAATGTCACAAAAACCAACACACTTATCTAGCATCTTCTGAAGATGCAGTCTTTTTATACATCTCTATCTCCTAAAATTATGTACACGGGCACTGTGGAAGTAAGGGTGGATTCCACAACCATCTTTCAGGCAGGTGCAGCTTAACCTGTCCTGGGATAGAGAAGCACTCCAGGTGACACCTCCAAGTCCCTATGACTTCGTGCTAGGTAAACACCACCAATATCTTGTCTTGTCCCAACAAAGGATGGCTTGAACATCTTGGCAGGATGCTCGGTTTTCTACTTTGGCTTCCTGCTTAGCCCACAGTGCACACAAGGATGTGTCCTGTCAAGAGTCAACTTGCATCTTCCTGACAAGCCATTACGAGCCTCTCTACTTTTCACATGAAACTGGGGAGCAGCACACAGAGAAGAGCACAGTGCAATGGCCAGCGTGCAATTTCAAAAGCTGCCATGGACAGCCTTTGCCCCACATTTTGGGATCTTGAAAAATGTTGGCCAAACTGCTATCAAGTTGATAACGAGCAAGAGAAAGAAAACACAACACTGATAGGCTAGTCAGGTTCTTGCCTAAAGCTTGCAGGGGTTGGCCATCCCAAGAGCAGCTGCTTTTAAACTTGCTACAAGCAGCATTAAAAATTAATTAATCTAGAGAAAATATGACTTTGCTTCAAAAGAAAAAGGAAAACTAGGACCCCAGGATATTGTAAACAGATACTCACAAACATTGAGGTGAGACATCATTAGGAAATGCCAGCATTACTGTGTAGAGGATTTGTGGTATTTTTTTCCACATATTACAATTGCCCAGAGAGGTGACCTCACATAAGTGAGTCGCTCTCAGCTGGTGATGGAAGGGAAGTATTACAGTGGCATCAAGAGCAACCAACTTCCAAAGATGAAGGAAACAAATAGCAGCAGCGGCGGCACCAGGCTGCCGCTCACCTACGATCAGTTGTGGGAATCCATCTGTTTGCCACTTCTGGAGTGAACAGCTATTTTAACAGCTTGTGAACCTGCCTTCACCATAGAAACACAAGTGGCACAAGCAGAATCTGATGTACGGAAATGCTGGCTTTTCCTATGGGCTTGTCTGCATGCCGGTTCTGTTTTTTTAAGGTTCACGTGGGTGAGAAAAGACCATCTATAGAGACACATTTAGCAATGCAAGTCAGTGCCATCCTTCCTGATGTAATGCTCCCTGGTTAAATCAATGCCCAGTAGCAATAATAAAAGAATAAAAAATGTCTTTGCATCAGCAAGGGCTCCATATGCCACCACCGCCACCACCAGCACTTTTCCAAGCACATGGCTGAGGCTGCACCCCCAAGTGTCTGGCACCACTGCAGCCGCCCGCACCCAAAGGAGGATCCCTTGTGCATTCATCAGCATTTGGTACTCACCGGGCTGGTGGTGTTCAGCATGTCACTGCTACACTCCCAGCTGCAGTTTTTAAAACATTTTCAACCTGAGACCCTAACAACCACAGAGAATCTGCTCACCCGACACAAGCAAAGCCACCAGGTTAGACTTCAAACAGAAGGTGAAAGGCATAGAGATCAAAAAACACGTTACTGCCTGACAAGATCTGCAGACTAACAGAGCAGACTTGTATGGAAGGGCTTAGCTGTTACTGAGACATGACTTGTTGGTGCAGTTTCCTGCAATGGTGTTTATGGGGTCCGCTTGAGTTCTTTGTCTGGAAGCCTGATTCAAGACATTCTGAAGTTTGCCAGTGTAATTGCCACGGTGCTCTCATCCTCCTGTTGCCTTATTTGAGCTGAGGATTTCCTCAATAATTACAGAGAAATAAAATTTAAATGTTTGGGAACTTTCCTTTTTTTTTCCTCCAAGGAAGAAATTCAGAGATGTGCCAGATTTATTTTCCAAGTTAAGGCTTCGTATGGATTAACACCAACAGTGTAGGTCTAACAGGCAGCACTGAAGTTCTGCTTTGTTTTTAAAGACAGTCAGCATGCTACTCCCACATTAGTTGCTGTTACAAGCCACGCATTAAAAATAAGGCAGGCCAAATCCTCTTTAACTGTGAAGCTTTTTTCAATAACAAACTGCTGGGAGAAGGAATTAGTTGATTGTATTTCAAAGAACTGCTGGGTTCCTGGAACTGGTGCTCTCTGGCTCTTCTACAGAAAGCCAGGCTGGAGGGAAAGCTCCGCTGCTTTGCTGGCATTGCTGGCAGATCCCACTGCCCTGTGCTTCTCTCTCTGCAAAAGCTGCATCTGCTGTTCAGCCACGGCCAGGAAACGCTGCTGTTAAAAGCATTATGAAATAAAGAATGCCTTTTCCATATTTTTCAGAGCTGTGAAGTAGCTCAGGATGGTCCGGTACTGCTCCCAGCCCACTGAAAATGAGTGGGAAGTTAGGAACTGATGTCAGTCAAAGTAGTAAAGCCGTGCGAGGAAAGGGAGGAAACTCGAGATGACTGAGAAGGAAGGTGAGAAATTCGTAAGCGAAGCTCAGCGTGTCCAACTTCCAGCGAGATGAACAAACCCATGCATTACATGAGATTTTCTTCCAGCAAATACAAAATAGATTTCAGTTGGACAGTGGATTCGACAAAGCCAAGACGTTTCCACTTGGATTCAAGGCAACGCGTGCTGTCTGAGCAAGGACATCCAGCACTACACATTGGCATGAAGGTTGTTGACTTAATTGGTTTTCGGTGGTCTTTTTTTTTTTTAGTTTTATATTTTTAAGTAAAAAATAATAAAACATGACTGATCCTGCAAAGCACTTGGGAATATTTTCTGAATTCTCTGAATTGTTATTTAAGAATGCATTTCTGCCTCATTATTAAAGATGCTTTTAAATCCCTGGTGGCCACTCTTAGCTGCCGACCACAGAATTGCTAGAATGCAGTAAATTTTTTCTTTTTTAAATTAGCTGCAGCTTATCAGTCTATGCAACTAAGCTCTTCTATGACCAGGGCACATGGTACCAGTGACAACATGCAAGACTTGAGGAATCAAACTGGCTTTAAACACAGCTGGCCCCATGCTTAAATAGGCCCCATGCTTCCCCCATGCTAGTCAGCACAATTAGATGGTGAACCTGTGCTGGTAAATGCCAACAGACAGCCTGGCTCAGAGATCTGTAATCACACTTCTTGCATAAATACATCTGAGCTATAGTGTTTCTATAAGGCATCCTCTAGCAGCCCTTCACTCCTAAGAAATTCCTTCACTGCTGTGCATTCCTGCATGAGAGTTGCCCAAACCCAATACCGTTACTTTCTTATTATTTTCTGGAAGCCCAGCACGAACAATTTGCTTAAGTACAGATAAAACCAATGGCCAACACTTCATATTGTTACGAAGTACACGCACAGAAGCAGTTGTTATTAATGACACTTTTGCCACGTGCCGAATACACCTGACATCTGATGGAATGCTTCCAAACTGCAGCACACCTCACGCAGCTCACACACTACTGACAGAGAAATTACTGCTGCGGTGACTGAAACAAAACATGGTATCCATTCCCAACCAAGGACTTGAACTTGAATTTCTCATCTTTTTCTTTCTTAATTTTTTCCTAATGTTTGGCAAACCCTGCTTTTGAAAGTTGAACTTCTTGAAGACAACGAAATGCTTCATCTGCTGTGATGGTGATTTTTCTGCCTCCTCACTTCCAATAGAAAACAGTGCTCCTCAAACCAAGATGAGAACTAACATTGTTGTGATGACCTGCTGGCAATTTACACAGCTGCTGTAACCAAGGACACATCAAGCCTGTGATCCACAAACTCAAAGGTGCTCGTAAGCACCTGGATGCTCACGAAGTCCTGACTTCATCTGGTTCCAGCTAGGTTTGTTTCATTTTTACTTAGGAGATCCCATCTAGAGCAGAAATCCCCTGGTAGTGTTTAGTACCTGAGGTACCAGGCCTTGAAACTTCTGGCAACATGCTGCTAAGCTGTAAGATCTCTCACAGCAGAATCATTTTAAGAACCCAGTCATGAAGACATCAAGGAACTGTTCTTCATACGTGGAAAGCCTGCAGGGAAAACACCAGTCCTAACTCCAGGTGCTGACTAGGTGCTAAGAGCACTCACAAAGGGCTTGGAAGGAACATGACTGAGTACCAGAAGGATCTGACCTGAGCCCAATGGCTTCCTGCCATCACCAGGAAGCTTGACCATGTAGGACCTCCTGCCAACCAACACCTTGGCAAAGGAAGATCACCAGGTGCTCCCACATCATGTTATCAAATGCCTGAGCAGACAGCTCTGACCTCAGAAAGGAGTGAGTGCATCTGGAAGACGCGTCAGTGTAAGTAAAAGCCATGCAGATATTTGGGTTTCCCTTCGCAGGAAAATACTTGGCTACAAATACAGTGAATGCCAATACAAGCTAGAATTTGAGCAAGGGAACAGGTGCCTGTGAAACATCTTCCCAGATGACCTAGCAAACTAGCCAAACACAGACTGCAATGAATGCACCTAACACTCTCAGTGTTACTTCTCCATATCCATGCAGAAGTAATAAACAAAATGCTGCAGACTAAAGTACTGGGCGTCCGCATTCAGCAAAGTACACTTTGGTGGTAAGCCTGAAATCCTACAGCAACTGATTTGGCTTTGGGGTCTATTTCAACGAGTTCCTCTTGTTTCACAGACAAATAGATTGAAGTACGTATATATAAATACTGAAGTAGTATTTGTGTGGACTAAACTTTTGGTATGGATTTATGCAAGCTGGATTTTCAACCAGTTTCAGCTGGGGTACAGACAGCTACATCCTGTGTTGGATTACTTCTGATGAAGACCTGATCTGCCTTCTGCCAGTAGGTAACACGTGAAGCCTAGCTGAAACCTTCAGCACATTCTAAGTACAACTGTATTAGAGCTCAGTTTCTTACTGTTTCTGTGCCAAGAACAGTCCACAAAAAGAAGTTCACACTGAATAGCTGGTAGGCATTATATCTCATAGGTTTTATTTTTGAAAACAAAAGAAAACAGAACTTTGCAGCAGATATAGAAATGTTGTCTCGTATTTTGTTACTGAAGAACTGGCAGCTCCATGTGCTATATCACAGTTACGGTATGCTTGAGTAACCTTTCATCTCACTTAATGCTTTTACACTTCAAAAAATATGGAAAAAAAAAAAGTCTGCTTCGGAGCAGGATTAACTGCACATTAAAAAAAAAGTGATGAGCAATGAAAATAGCCCAACAAATGCAATCGATGGAGAATGTCGTAAAGCATGTCACCTCAGGAGGAGGATGTCATTCCATCCCATGTCTTGAAAGTATTAGTGGGAATTTGTCTTACCTGACAGTTAAGGGAGTGTCAGTGCAATGCCAACCAGCTGCAAGCAGCAGTGTGAGAGCCGGGTAACAAACCAGGTCTAGATGCATCGAGTGGGCTGCACTAAGCAGGTGTTTCCTTGGAAGAACAAAATGAGAGCAGACACAAAAACATGGGGGTCTAAGTAATGAAGATGACTGTGTTTTAAGGTAATTCGGTAAGAAAAAAATGGAATTGTAACTTCAGTGTCCCTGACTGAGCATACTGTACTGAGAAAAAAGGTATTTTCTAAGATTCCTTCCAGCTTTTTACTTGCTGCATCAGAGCTTTTCTCTCCCTTTCCCAACTATGACCATTGCATGGCCTTTAGCTCTGAAGCTCTTTCATTCCTGGTATTTCTTTGCAGACAGCTGATGTGTAACCAGCAAAGGCAGTGCAAGATTGCATACATTTTTTCTTCCCTGAGTAAGTGGCACACAGCTGAAAAAACAACAACAAAAAAAACCACACACAAAACCCAAAAACCCAAACCACCACCCCCCCCCACCAAAAGTAAAAGCTTCCCTTCTGCTACTTTTGACCCAGAAGCAGATCTCTGCTTGCAAGTGAACAACTGCTTTCTACTGGTTTCATATATTCTGTACCTGGGTCTTGTGTGATACGAAAAATACAACCAAGGAATCTTCAGGTATCCAAGGCCAGAAAAAAAAGGCCAGACCTCCCAAAGTCTAATTTTTAATCCTAAATAAAAAAGGTAAAATACAGGGGCAGAACAGAGTACTGGTTTAAATAAGCTTTGAAAGTAGTAGGGATCTTTAAATATGGATGATGCTTGCTATTTACTTTTAAAAGAGAAACCATTGTGAAGAAGTTCTTCTGGTGTTCAGAAACTGAAAACGTAGCAGGGGCTTCTTTATGTGAGATGACTTCACTTATTTCTGTGGGTTAGAAATGAGCTTTCCAGTTGTGTGAAGACAAAAATCCAGAAGCACACTGTGGAAACCTGGAAAGCTTAGAAGAAAGGGCAAATGGCTTTCCCCCAGTTTAACTTACACTGAGTCCTGCCTCTCCCTCATCCACAGTCTCCAGCTTCATGCCAACATACATTCAATGAATCCTGTGGCACTCGCATGGGTCTGCAGATCTTTCCATCAATGTCAAAAGCGTTGATCAAGCTCAGAAGTTTGTAAAAAATAAAATGAAAGCTCCCATGATAGACATCTTTAAGCAAGAACAAATGGGCGTAGATTCTTTGCAAATGTGCAGTGTTTTGATGGTCACTGTGCAGAAGTTGGATGGGTGATCTGAAGGGAAACTACAGCTCACAGTTTTGGGGATCCATCTCTGTTTTTTGGCATCTTCCATTTTCAGGTGGAAAACGAGCTTGCTTCTTTTTAAGTGGAAAAAAAAAAAAGCCAACCAACTCATACTCTAGCTAAAAACAAGTTCTGAAATTCTACTACGTCAGCCATACGTTGAAGTAAACAACCACTTAATAGTAAAGCAGGGGAAGTATCAAAGCAGCTCTGTTTTAATAGCATTTATTTGCAATCATTAGTTTTAAATGGGAAACTGTTTACAGGCACACACTAGATAACCAAAATAGAACGAACATAAAGAAATCTATTTGACGGTCCTTTTCAAATATTTCAAATATTTTATTAAATATTTTATTCAGGTTTTGATCACAGTTTAATGTACTTTAGCATGTTATACACATGACTTAACATGTGCACTTAATATCAAATTAGAGGTTTTTGAAGAAAGTACATTTTATAAATGTGCTTATTGACTTCTAACTACACACATCTAAGAAGGCAGTAGCTCCGTTATACCACTTATGGAGATGAACTATTTATTGTAAGGCATGTTTACACCAAGCTTTGGAGAGAATAAAGCCAAATACTGGGTCAAAATTTAGTGGAATTATGTATGAGAATAAAAGTTGAAGGACTGGGCCCTACAAAGAGATCACAGCAAATCAGATGTGTTAAAACTGTCAACGCAGACTGGTTATTAAAAGCAAGCACTGCTGAGAAAGAAGATTCTCACAGTGTCTGTATTTTTTTCAGACCTTTTTGAAAATTACACCTTATGGTGTAACGTGAAGGAAAGAGAATGAAATCTTCCAAGAAAGTTTGAAAACCATTGTCTGAGAAACCTCAAGTTGTTTTGGGACCTAACATGGAACGCTTTTATACAGGCAACATCTTCCAAGCCACTGCATACTAATGTGTGTGTGTGTGTGTGTGTGTGTGTGTGTGTGTGTGTGTGTGTGTGTGTAGGAGGTATATACACACACAGACACACATCTCTCTCCCTCTTGCCTTTGTCACCTTCAGACGACTGAATAAAGTGTAGCAGTGCGTGGAAAAAACAAGGTTAAAAGAGTAGGTTAAAGCACTGTATTCGGAAGCCTGGTTAGTTAGGCTGTACTGTGTGACAGCAGACGTGTTTTTGTGTTGTTTTTTTTTCCAGTAGAGTACAATGTGGGTCTGTTGGCATAAGTTAACGATCAAGACCCAGAAATTACAATATAATTCTTAGGAAGAACTCAACAAACATTAAGGTATTTGCATTTGTTTTTAAAACTCTGTGTCAATGAAGGCCCCAGGTCAAAATAACATGCCTCCTTCAGAAGCATCACAAAAGCCAAAACTCAATTCTAGGGGCACAGTAGCCCCTAATCAGGGCTCCTGCACAGTCACACTGCAAACTACAATGCTGCCCCTCAAATAAGGATGGTTTTAGGCAGAAGCTCAGGTGTGTTGCTGAGTGGAGATCTCAAGTCAGTCCTTCCTAGATGTCTGCCTCAGAAGAATCAGTGGGGGAACATAAAACATGCATCCACTTCATAAGCTCCTTCGAAGTTGTCAATTCAGTAGAAAATACTGAGTATATAAAAGACTATAATAGCAGTTAGGTGAGAGAATAAATCTCTCTGTGCCTTTTTATCGGGAAATTCAGGAGAGGAGGCAAAAAAAAAAACCAAAACTCTTTCACAGCCTAAATGCACTCATTCTCATCTCTCAGTGTCCTGAAAATGACTCAATGTTCTGGCAGCTTTAGATGATAGTTTCATAATATGTACAAGATAAGAAGAATGCCACAGATAGTACAAAACAGGGCAAAGATACCTACAATCTAGAAGTAGAGCTCTACAATCTAGAAAACAAGCATGGCAAACAAACAGTGTCTAACGTATGGTACACAACACAAAAGTTGCACAGTTATGTTTCCTTGTGAAATTAGGATTGCAAATGTAAACTCCAGAATAAATGTCAAGAACAGCATTTGGCTTACTGCATGACCACTGGGAGTATCTGAAGTCCACCACCTGATGAGCACAGCCATTCCTGCTCTTACACAACCCGTTCTACTGGGCCTATATCCGCAACTCCTGTGACTATGGCAGAGGTTCAACAAAAAATGCTCCAGCAACACAGTTTGGCTACCACTGTATATTCAGCCTGATGTTGTCAGATAAATGTTGCTGTTGGGAAGTAAAGCGTACAGCGATGTACAAATGGTATCAATGGCTGAAAAGATTAAACGATCAAGCCTGAAAGCAAATGGAAGATAACAAAAGTAGTCTTTTAGGAGAGGTAGCCATATTAGACTCAGCATTCAAAAAAAGGAAGTGCACTCAAAGGACCAAAATGCATTACAAGATCTTGTACGCCCATTATGTTTTTGTCTTTCCTACAGGTTTTTTTTTTCCAGAATGTACACACACACGCACACATATATATCTTTTTACCTAACTCCTCTTTGTTGCCACACCTTCACCATACTGAGAACAAAGGCCAGCTTTCCTTTTAACCTCTCTCAGCTGTCCTGTGCCTTCAATCTGTTCCAGGACCCGTACAATAGCTAACAGGCAACGGAATTAAACTGCTCCAATTTAATATCCTGTTCCAAATGACAGCATCCAAACTATAAGGCATTCCCTCATTCTGATGCAAGTTACAACTCTCTTGGGTTTCTGCTTGGTGCAGACTGCAGAGTGCTCTTCAGCCTTACGCTACAAAAGTAGATCTCACCCAAACAGTAAAGCACGAGGATGGAATTTGAACACTGATTCACACGCTTCCGTCCATCCCTTGTTCCTGCGCCCTTTTCCAACAACAAGGCTTACCACGTTAATTTCAAAAGTCATGCACCAATGCTATAAAAGAGAAATCCAAATCGACAAGAAACCTTTTGCTCATGACTTTGGGATACTGTATTAGTATAAAAGAGCATTCAGTCATCTTAAATAAATATACTCTATTTCTGAAATCACAGCACATTCAAGGGGTAGTTACTGCCGTAAGCAGGGCAATAAGTGATCTCCACGGATGTTTTTCATCGATTTGGTCTAATATCTGGAAAATAACCTACTGTGGGGATAAGAATCTGCATCTCAAATGTTCTGCAGAACGTTCTTCCCATGTTTGCATACAGTACTAGAATAATTAAGAAGACATTACAGTATTTTCCTCCCAGCTGCTTACATCTGTAGCTTTGGCTACAACAATATATTCCGTATACCTCAAAACTATATATGAAATACCCAAGATCACTAAATAAATAAAAGCCAAGGAAACAGTACTGCATTTTACACTTGAGATGCGATTCCCCCACTCCCATGGATAAGTGATAGAGAACAACTAAGGTAATTGCTTTTTTTTTTTTTTTTTTTTTTTTTTTTTTAAAGAAAGATTTATACACAGGTTCAGATCCAGAAAATAATGTGAAATGCATAAATATTGATAGCTTTAGCTAAGTTAAAATGGGTTCAGTAAAGTATGATACAACATATTCAGAATAAACAAAGCAGAAAAGCATCATATTTTGGTTTGCTTGAGATATACATAAGGTGCAACAATTTCTTTTCTAGAGGCATTTGTGGACAATGTGTTAACAGGTAACAGTGTTTGCTGGTATACTGAAGTACACACAATAGCAATATGATTTTTTTTTTTCAAAACAAAAGCAGCTGAAATTAATAAAAATTAAAACAAAACAAACAAGGAAAAAAAAAAAAAAAACACAAAACCCAACCCCAATACAGTAAGATATTGGTCTGAAATTTTTGTTGTGCTAACAGACTTTGTTACCTGAAAATACTGATACCCCTTCTAGTAGATTCAGGGAAAACTCTAGCTACTGAAATCAAGACGTCACTCAGAGAACCAACAAAGGCAAATGCCTAGTGAACTATAAAGCTTTGCAGGATTTCTGCTACTCTCAGTGCCTAATCGCTTAAAAATTAAGCATATCTACAAAAAGGTTTATAAGTATCTGAAAACAGTCATATCCAGTAAACTGACCCAACCCTACCCCCTCTCTAAGGGAAAGTCAAGGAAAAGCAGATCAAGTAAGATATTAATTCATATAGAAAAAAGTAATTTTCTGTTTCTTTTAAAAAAGGTACCATTAATATACAGAAATATCTTCAGGAACAATATTGAAATTTAAATTGAGGAAGGATGGGGTGCTTTGACAAAAATATATCTACTCTAAAGGTTTCTAGAGAAATAAGTTAGTACCATTGTCAAGGTGAACGGCCTGCACTGTAACATATTTGGATTTCAGCTAATTATAAAGTGGTCCAAAACTCCAACAGCCACCTTGCTGTGACCCAACAGTTTAAAGTCTTTAGCTTTTCCTGTCTTGTTAAAATAACTTATAAAACTTTAATAAAATCTCATTAAAAAATACTGCCATAGGCTACAATGGCATTTGAGGGGCTCTTAGTCATATATTCACCTGAATTTTTAAAAAAGCCTTTTCACTGACTCATCGGCTCTGAAATTTTGTTGTTCTTTTGTAGTTGTTCCCTTCTTCCAACACATGCATCTTTGATGGTGCTGTTTTAGTGAGACTTTCCAAGCTGTCCACCCTAGTCAAACCTTTAACCCTTTGTTACAACTCTCGTGGTATCTTGGTATACTGTTTCCCCACAATGAACCAAAGACTTTCACTTAGCTACAACAATGAAAGGCTAAACCTAGCAAGCATTAATAGAGTTACTGTCCATATGGCTATTACATCAAATTAGTTACAAAATAACCCCAAAACATATTATCAATTCAGTCAAGTATAAATAAGAATGCCTGATAGAATGATGTAAACTCGCATCATTTAAAGACTTAATTCAAAGAACTTCAAACTCAATCTAATACTATCAAAAATTCAGCCAGTATGACGAAGACTAATATAAAATTATTGCTGGAGTCCAATTTGGTAAATTGTTGTGCTACAATGCAAAAATTAGGGAAACATCTTGTGCTATTGAAGAAGTACCCTGTTGAATTTGTAGCTTTAGTTTAATTACTAGTGATCATTTTGCATCTGTTGGTAGGAATCAATGCTTGGTTATACAATAGTGTAAGTCGAAATAGTGAAGACAGCAGGCCAAGTGATACAATTGGCCTGGCTTTTGGGATGCATTTATGAGAGCAAACCACAAAAATTCAGCATAAGCAAAGATAGAAGCTGGCAGGTGGATCTGTGGTAGTCTGAATTCAGTCAAACATTACTCTTCAGTTGTAGTTTATCTGCATAAAACTTTCCCCTTGACCAACACAAACTGTAATTGGCCCTTTATACAAACTCTGAAGCCGTCTGTGCATAGTAACTACAACAATGCCAGTGTCTTTAAAATGTAAAAGGTATGCTTATCAGAGTACATGTATATTGAAAAGTCATGCTTTTAGGTCTTTCAGAATGGTGAAATAATACTAAGGTCACTTTTGAAAAACATATTCGCAGTACTTTTTGTTTACAGGAAAGTTTCACCAAGTCACTCAGGTATCTATGCAAAAATAAAGGAACCTTCCAAGGCATTAAAGACAAGTCAATTCTCTGCAGTATTTTTCTTTTCCATACACCACTCCTTTTTCTAATGCACATCATCCTGGTTATTCAAAGCTAAATTAAAAAGAAACAAAACCCAAACATAGCCTGTCAGAATTTTTGCCAGTAAACTCTACCACTCTGGTGGCAAATATAAAAGTGCAGAACATCTGGACCACGTGGCTGCCCAAACACCGCTAACAATGGTACATCTGTCCAGGCTGCCTTGAGTTCTCTGGAACAGGTTTTATATTCATTCTACAATATAAACGTAGGCATAACCTATTAATATAAACCATCTTAGAACTTAAATCTTCATGTACAAAAATGACTAAGAATATCTAATAGTAACTAGTGCAGTGCGTCAGTGTTTTTGTTGTTGTTGATTTTTTCATTTTCATTTAACTAGGCATTGTATGAAACTAGTTGCCATACTCTCTGGTTGGTAAAAGAGATGCTGTGTGAACTAACAGTAAAGGCAGCCTTCTTCATATCAACCACCTATTTACTGTTTAAAAGCCTTCAATAGAAAGCAAGCTCTGGGATCATTCCATTCCTGTTCATTAATAGACAAATAATATCACCCTCCTACATACTGGGTTCCGATTTGAAGACCTGGCCCAAGTTGCTAATGTCTGGCTTCCAGTGAATTCTGGGCCACTCAGAGCAATAAGCACTTGCTTGCAGTCTATAGTTTCCATCACATGGACTGACTAGCTTCCCTTGGTAAAGACAAGGCTAGGATATTAGGTAAAGCACAATGTTTTACAATAATGTGGAGCTTCACTGGTCAGCGCAGGAAATAAGCACTGGAGCCTGAGACATTTCATTTGGCTGTCCATCATGTGGGAGAGGTGTGGCCCTCTGATTTCTGCAAAGAAGAAAAGAAACCTACCGTTATTCAAAGCATGGAAATGCTTTTAGCAGACAGGAAAGACAGAAATTAGCAAGTGATATAGTCTAGTGAACTCCACGCTGGCACAGATGCCCACATATTGCTGGCTACTAACTGTTTATGGGTATTCCTGCAACATAAGAAAATATCCTGAGGACAACCTGCAATACAATGCAAAGTCAGACAAGTCTTGATGGTATTTGATTACACAAAACAACACAGATGGCCAAAGAGTAGGTTAAGAGCACACAAGTGCTGTTACACATTTTATAAGTGAGTGGTTTCAGCTCTTAGTAGTGGAGCTCATGTACAGCAATAGATGGCAAATGCACAGAGGCGTATGTCATGTTTGTGAGAGTCAATAGCTAGGCTTTGAAGCAAAACAAAAATATACCTATCAGCAGTTACATGCTGGGATGACTCCAAATTTCATAACTTAACACTTCATCAGCTCAGCACATCTCTTTCATTACTTCAGCAGAGTTAATTTACAAATGATCCCCTGGCACAGGATATCATAAAAATACACCGCACCAGAATTACGCGCTGACAATCAACATCAGTCATTGAAGCAGATGGACCTGGGAGAACTCCTTTGCAGCTTGCCTTTTAAAATGCATGCAAAAGAACGTCACCGCCTGTTATCTAATTTCTCGAGTCAGATTCTATTATTGTTACATTATGTGTCACTTTGAGCAGTGAAAATCTGGAGCCTAATTCTTACTTACACAAAGGCTACTTTGACTGCACTTTGGCAGAGCTACAGTCTCTACAGTAACGTAGGTACTGACATGCTTTGCACACCTGCAGTGCAGTGAAACGGCCTTGGTACAAAATGCAGCTCAGGATCACAAGTGCTTTAACTACAGCACACACAAGGTAACCAAAGCTAAACAAACATTCAAATGACAACCATGCTGTCACTTCCAGACAAGCTCTAATTACATTTAGAAAGGACTCCGGCTTCTGAGGTCCAAGACTGTGTAAAATTATATAATAATTGAACTTAGACTCTGAAAAGAACACATCAAGCAAACTTCCAGTGCTATTCTTCTCATTTCTAGTTATTCAGAGATAAAGAAGTTGCACAGATAATAAACAGTCAATGGAGTAGAAGTTAGAGAAGCATGCAGCCCATCAGATTCAGGTTTCTGTTTTGACTTCCATTTGACAAGTCTGTAAGAGACCTATGGCAAAGCTGTTACTTGGAAAGAGTTTCCCTTTTCATTTTCCCTAGTGATAGAAGCTGGAATTTGCAACAGTTGCTAGACATTTGCTGGTTTGGTGTTTTCAGGCCTCAAGAAAGGTGCCACACTGCTCTAACTGCATGATGAGATGACAAAATATGGTTGTAGGTAAGGAAGACCCAAACAGAAGGGTAAGTAAAACATTGGTTCAAAACATTATTTCTAATGAGGAAAAATGAAGGAGAAAAAACTTTTAGAAAAACAAAGAGGACATCATCACAACTAAGTGAATCTTAGTTATGTAACTAAGTCACTCTTGTGCTGCTCTTCTCACAGCATTACTGGAAATCAATGAAACCACAAAGATGCAAATGAGAGCAGAACTTAGGACAGTGCTTCTCCAGGTTTCACTTCGTGGCTTCCAGCCATGGAAAATGACAGAAGCAAGTTCATACCTTTGCAGTCTTGATAGCAGACTGCTGTTTTGCAAAACTGGGAGAAAAGTCTGGGCTGACTGTAGTATGAAAACATTTCCCACTTGAAATGCTATTGTGTAAGCAAGGTAACAGCTTCAGCAGAGAAAAGGTACCAGGCTGAGTTCATCAGAATTCCTTTCTTGGTGCCTTTCAAGCTTCTAAAAAAGTCAGTGTTTCACATTAAGTCTGAATACAGGACTAGATTGCCCAACAGGGGGCACAAGATTAACAGTAGGTTGTGAGGTTGTGAATAGCATTCATCAAACGCTGCTTTGTGGTTTCTTAGGTAGCCAGTAATCTGTTACCTTCCAATTGCTCAGGTTGTGATGGTTTCAGACTGGCCTAGATTTCCTTACTGACTTTCCACTATAGCAAAGGATATAGGCCATCGTATCTCCAACAGGTGGGAGCACATCAAAGGACAATACTGGATAATTAAGAGCTAAAGACAACTTGCTGTCATTCATTTCCTCCCACCACAGGTCTAGAATGCAAGATCTGACTGTGCCGGCTGAACCGACCCAACAGGCCTAAGAGATCTGTGCATTCTCCATATTATCTGTGTGGATGGCCTAACTCTAAAACTGAGAGGACCAGACCAAAGTAACATGACTTTCCAACACTCAGAGCTGTTCTGCCCTCAGGACATTCTGCAGATGCTTTTCCTCCTACACAGCGAAGGACAAGAGTAAAAATAACAAGCAAGCTTCATTCAGTCATGCTCAGTAAAAAACTGTGCTAAAGTTACACGAAATTCTCTGCGCAGTCTTAGGCCACAGAGACATAGAAAACAGTGTGTAATAGCTGTTTAAATCTATCATCTGACAAATGGTGATTGAAAATTAGAAACTCTCCATTATTAGGATCTCAAAGAGCGTATTAAGTGGTTTATACACAAAATTTGGGAGACAGGTTTTACGAAGGAGAATAATTTTACTGATTACTGAAATAGACTACAGTGTCATGTAGGTGTCAAATTAACACTGGGAAGCCAGTGGTAGAAAACAGAGAAAGCAGTGGAGGAGGAAGCACAGGCCAAATTAAACACTATGCAATTCACGCGCTTTCTAAACATTCTGGCATCAAAGAGAAAAGAAAATCATACCTGTGTACATTTTCCATTGCTGCTACCTCTGCCAGAGCAGCTAAGCTAAAAAATGCAGACACTGCTGGCATATCTGATGTAATACTATGATTTTCTTGTGTCTCTGCATTTCCGGAGCATTCACTGTTGCAATCCATTTCTGCACTTGACGCTTTTTGAAGACTGCTCTGTGGAAGATCTTTTGGCTTTTCCTCTGTAACAAAAGAGAGTTAAGCTTGCAAGTCTAGCTCTTACACTCATAGCAGCACACTGAGGTACTGACCAGTCCAATGTTAACAGAAACTTCACCATTAGGACTTTGATTTTGCTAGTAAAATTAATTCATGCTGCAACCTCTTCTGAACCAAGTTAATGACTGAAGCATACAAACGTTTAGGGAACAGTTTACTGACTTTGGATTCAGCTAAAGTTGATCCTCCAGGTCAGTCAACAGAGGTTGTGTCTCTGTGTATGTTTAAGATACAAGAAGTCCTGAAAGATTATCTTAACCACTGAGGCTTTTGCACTGCTTGTCATACCACAGAATTGTTTTTATGTCATATTACTAAGTGCGCTATGATTACTTTGCTGAGATGGAAAAAAAGTATGAAATGTAACTGTTTTTCATTTCTCTTTGTGATCAGTTCTTAGAAAAATACCAGGGTGACAGATGTGGGCAGTCAAACAGATGGAGTTGGCCATTAAGGATGTAACCATTTCACAGTTGATCGATATCTGCATTTTATAGAATGATCTTTCTGAGCAGGTCTGAGAACATGCTGGCTGAACAATGCTTTCCTAGTTAGTTGCTTGTGCTCTAATATCATCCCCTACTATACAATTTTAACAAAATTTAAACTTAAACTACCATTTCCTTACCCAGTGTCCCTCCTGCTGGTGACACGCGACCATCTGCTGTTCGAACAAGATGAGTGATCTTAGTTTTCCTCGCTTTCCTTTTCTGGCTTCCAACTAAAGGCTCATGCATCATCGCTGGCTCTGGAGTGTTTAGGGCAGATAAACAAATTTTATTCCTCCAGGCAAGCTCAATGGGATTTCTGTCTTCTGAGAGTATGGCTGAAAAAGAACAAAAATAAATTAATCAACATTTAAGATACAACTCCTGGCTATTCTCATTTAACGTTATTAACATATATAAATATCTACATAACGTACTAAGCTTTTCCTCACAAGTACTCAGAGCACAAATCAAGGCAAAATATCATCTTGATCCTGCAGGGGCTTGCAATGGAATAGTAGCATAAGATTTCCTAGGAGGTTCAAGTTTTTAACATTTGCAAAGCAAACTGTGAGACAGGAAGTAGCATTTCAGTTTGAGCACGTTATCAGACAGCGTACAACACTCTACAACAAGACAAACACATTTAAAGAACAATAACAGCTAGGGTGCTCACATAAACTTATCTTAGCTCATAGCCAGACTCACAAATGGCATTCAGGAATTCCTGAATAATCCTCACACTTCTCTTTCAAGTCACTCTATTTCATCTCTTTTAAGCAGAAGGAAATGCTGCCTTCTACAGAACAACAAAGCTTACAGAAACCTAGAGGCAGCAAATACAGCAGCCAAGCTAGATCACTCAAATACATGAATGCTTAAAAAAAGAAGAAAAGAAAACAAGCACAGGACAGAATACTATAATTACTACAATGGGATCACTGCCTACATAAAGTGAGAGTACAAACGGAACTGTTTGAAATTCTTTCAACAGCACCAGTGTTGACATTTCAAAGCAGTTTTCCATCACGAAGTGGAACACAATGACAGATTTTCACCTGACCAGACACTAACTTCACTCTTGTTCGTGCAGAAATTGGTCAGACAGTAATTTAAGATTCCAAAGTCTGAGATCAGCATACAGTCATAAACTGCCTGCCATTTCCAGTGATTTAATAAACCACACTGCTGATACCACAGGATTTCACAAGATTATAAATTCAGTCTGCATTTTCTCCTTTGATAAAAGCATTACCCCATTTGTGCTTACAGAAAGACAGGGTTAGCAAAAAAGGGAATGCCCAGGACATTTCTTAGAGGCTTCCCTAGACTATTTTGAAACTGAGAGCACTCACGACATCGTCACTAAGTCCACAGGTTGTTTTTCTCCCAGATGCACTGCCTCCTGAATGATTACATAATTTTTCCTAACATCCATATCTCATCTTTTCTGTGCATTTTCAACTCCTCGTTTTCTTTACTACTTGTCAGGTTACAGCTCATCTCTTTTTAACACTCATTTATTTCACAGTTGTTACCATGTCCACATTTCCTCTTCCCCACCGTTTCCTTCAATCTTTGTTCCTATTTTCAAGAAATGTTTAAAACCCATTTATTCACTCTGTGAGTGACAAGACAAGCAAAAAATGACATATGCAAAACTTCAGTCGGAATGCCAGCAACTGCACTTTCAGAAGAGTTAAGCATTGAAGAAAACCAATCTCCTACACTGAGACTGGGAGTATCATGCAGGAGCAACCAAACCTCACAGATCACACACAACAGTCCACATTTCATTTTAATAATATTTACTGTTTATATATTGGTTAGATATGGCTGATATAAACTCTTTCCTTTCAGTAGCTTCTTTGATTGCTAACTATGGGACTGGGAACGGGCTGAAGAGAAAGCTATAACACAATTTTGTCCTGCAATCCGCTGCCCTTTGCTTTCATGGAAAGGAACTGTGTTTTACTTTTAATGTCTTATAGCAAAAGAATATGAACAGATCTAGTGTATATGTATAAAAGCATCTGGAACTGTTACAAAACTTAATGAATATTCTTGAATCCATCTCTGTGCTTTCCCTCAGAAACCATTTTTGGATTTATATGTGTTTCTTATTTTGAAAAATGCACAGCACTTCAGTGAGCTTTCCTCAGAGTTTACCCATAAATACTGATACTCTGCAGAGCAGAGTTTCGTTGTAAAACTTTTTCTTTTATTAAAGAGTACATGAGTGATTGCAATAACATCTGTCCAAAAGCAGTACAATTAAGAAGAAGCACTAATGACTACAAATGTGACTTCCAAGTAATTCAATTTACCTAATAGTGAGATGTTCAGATAAGCTTATTGCACTGACTGGGACCAAAATCTTAATTGGAATGTATAATTAAACAGGCAGCTTTATCTCTAGATTTCTAATTTAGGAATTCAAAAGCGTTGATTATGTATTAATGTAATGGCTTGGTTGTAGCCCAACTGTATTTGTTAACTCTGATTCAGGGATTTGCTCTAATTAGATACTACTTTGACAATGCTGTTTAATTCTAAGGTTGAGTTTATAATGGCTTTAATTTTAGCAATGCAATTTTTTTTTTTTTTTTTTTTTTTTTAACATTTGATAAAACCATTAAAGACACGATTTCAAATAATGAACATCTGAAAGAAAGGAACTTGGGTATGTTTTCAGTTAAATGTGTATTATTTTATGAGCTATGCCAGGTCACTGGGAATTATCTTGATCGGTAAATACAATAGACAGTTCTTATTAAAATTCATGCTTTATTTTACACACTGCATCTATCAAAAAACTTCCAGAAAATATCAAGTCTTGAAAGGCATAAAACAAACAAATAAATAAAAAATTAAAAAAAAACTTAAAAAGGCAGTAGTTAGCATTATTAAAGACAAAATGGTAAAAAAAAAAAAAAAAAAAAAAAATTGCAACAGATTAGGATAAAGCAGTACATCGTATCTTGAGTGTTTCACTAAGAAACAGCAGAAGGTGACTGACAAATTCAGGATTAAATGTATCCTCTCCCAGTTTTAAGGTAACTCAGTCTTTAAAAGGAGACTTAGAGTCCTCTATAATTATTCACTTAGCTTAGGAGAGCTAACATTTCACTGTAAAATTGCTGCCATGCATTTTGAATGAGAAAGGAATAAAAATGAAAAGTGAATGAGTGGGGTTTTGTGTTTCTTCCCCCACCCTTTCAGGTGAAAGGATTGGGTGCTGAAGGGAAGAGTTGCTTTCCTCAAGAGGACTTTTCTACTTTTCTTGGTGGAAGTTAGGTTAAGAGATTATTTCATTGCTTTCTTTACACATTATTTATTCAAACAGAAATCAAACCAAACTCAGAGGAAATTACACAAAATTAAAGGCTCTCAAGACTATTTGCACTGAACTTGAGACGAACAACAGGATGGCAAAGCGAGGTGCAAAGGTCCTCATTCTGCACAGCTTTCAAGAAAATCAGAACCCCGCTGCTTCAACTGACAAAGATGTGTCTGTTTGGATGCTTTAAATCAAGCCTTTGATTAGCAGTGCTGAAATGACAGGGCTAAGCAAGTTTAATTCCCCTTTTTTCTAGTCATTTCTTGAATCCATTTTGTATCCCTAGTGCTTCCACGCTCTCCTACCTGCGTGAGCGGTATAGAACTCACCTAATTTTCAGGAGAATGCTTTCTAAAAATGAAATAAGGTTCTATTCTACTGTTCAGTCCTACAAACATTTCTGTGGTTAGCTTACTATGTGACAGTGGAGCACACAGAACTTGGAGACTATTTTTTGCAAGAGGAGTTGAGCACATGATACGAAAATCTGGTATACTTTCATTGTGGTCACAAAAATGACTTAGAAAAAAAAGCACCTGGAGCTGTATGCCAGATGGTTTCCTGAGCTAGATTTGTTTAAAGTTAGCATGGACCATTTACCCTACTCCGCAGTTCTACAGAGTACATGAAGTCTTCTTATTGTCTCCATCTATGGTTGGTTCTTTCTTGCATTGTAGAGTGCAAGCTGCAGCACACCAGAACACAAGTCTAACACAACAGACAAGAAACTGGCATAGCTCCAACTCAAGTCTTACACGTATGGAAAAAAAACCCCACAAAAATCAATGAAGAGAAAAAGTGAGGATTTAAAAGATGCGACTCACTGCCCTCATTTTGCTCATTTTTATCAACTATCAGTACTTCTGTAAAGCCTGCCACCAGAGATTGGAACTTCCTTGTTAATCCTGATTTTGATGCTGCAGTATAATAGTATGCAATCAGAGCAAAACCAGCTAAGGTGGTATCAAGAACACTGATGAACATCTTTACCTCATCTCTTTTCTAACGCCATACTGAACAAGGATAAGCCAAGACAGAGCTCCCTTTGAGAAGTGCTAGTGCCAAAACCGCACTCAAACCACAGAGGCAGGTCTACAATAAGAACGCTCTATTCAAGAGCCCACTCAACAGCTACTGGTCTCACTCAAAACTGAAGACATGTTCATCATCTGCCTTTGAGAACATAAAATGACAAAGCAACTCAGCACACCACAGAAACTGTGTCAGTAAGGCACCAGGTAGATCAAAAATGATTTCTTCAACATCTGGTAACAGCAGTTGTAGCAGTTCTCAAGCTGTCAAAGATGAAGGCAGTGTGACCCCTGCTGACAGCAACACTTATAGGTGTCTCCTCTCCAGCTATCAGAATATCCAAGTCTCTCCTTCCTCCAGCAAAATTAACTTCATAAAAACCATAACATATACATACTTGTGACTCACCAGAAGTACAAAATAACCAAAATAACTAAGCCCTTGTTTATTTTTTAACTCAAATAAAACACACAGGGATTCCCAGCTTGATGCTTCTGAACGTGGGATAGTTCTTGGATTCAAAGAGTTTAGGGTCACACTGCCAAGGAATTCATGAAACTGTGATGTATGATGTATATCAAGATCATACTGAGACTGCATTAGGCTGATAACTGTTCCTCACTGTGCAGTTATGGTAGCCAAGACCCCAAATTTTCACCACTTTAACTCAGAAAATACAATTCCCCTTGAAAATTTGTGTGTATATATATATATATATATACATATCAATGTCTTTGATGATTTCCACGTGGGCTGTGTAAGACTGGTAGGTTCAAGCTTCTCATGCCTTTCTTCAGTCTTGGGATGAACTTAGCAAACTGGCCCTGCTCCAGCAAATGCATAGACACGTCCTTAATGTTTAGACACCATGATACTATTCACATTCTCAATTTCCTGGGGCATGCCGCTGTTGTACTGGAATAAGGCCAGGGTATTCAACACTTGTCAAGCTTTAATCTTTGATCA